CCATTTATGAAATACAGGTTTAGCTCAGTTAACAAAGGGCCTTTACAGACTGCCAGAAATAATGCAACTTGAGTCCACTTTAACTGCCCTGGCTCAGTGCTAGGGAATCATGGGAACTGTAGTTTATTGTGGCACCAGAGCTCTCTGACAGAGAAGGCTCAATGTCTCAGGAAAAAAAACTACAATTCCCATGATTCCTTAGCACTGAGCCAGGGCAGTTAAAGTGGACTCAAGTTGCATCTACTGTATCCGGGAGGGTTTTTTCCCCCTTTCACCATCCTCTACTCTTCCTATGGTTTACATCAGGGGTAGGCAACCTTTCCCCCTTTAAGGGCCGAGGGACTTCAGCTCCCAGAATCCCAGGAGCTATTGGCCAACATGGGACTATTGGACAACATAGCTGAGGCTGCTGGGAGCTGAAGTCCCTCGGCCCTTAAAGGGGAAAGGTTGCCTACCCCTGGTTTACATTTTGGTGGCCCAATTTACAGATCTGTGCCTTTTTAAATTGATGGGGGTAACTGGTGAGAAAGGTCCCCTTTCTCCCTGTTTTTCTGCTCAGGAACGAAGTCCGGAGGCAGCTGCTTTTTAGCTTTCCTGTTGTAGGCAGGCACACATGGCTCCATTAGGGCTAGCTGGAATAGAAGCCTGCTTTCTTTTACCTCTAGCTTTATTGCTTTGGTTTCTGTGGATTTTCCAGCCTTCTTACCTGCAGTTCCGATGCCTGTTTAAATTTAAACCTTTTAACTTTTTAACAGTTTATTGGCAGTTGTTAATTGTGAAACCAGTCTCCGGTGTCAGTTGCTTCTTTTTAATCAATTTAAAAAGAAGTGTTAGCTGTTCAGTTGTCTGTTGTTTGTTCTTGTTTTCATTGTTCTGGTGTTTAATACTGTTTTAAGGGACGGGTGGGTTCTGGGACTGTATATTTGTGATGCTTTATTGCTGTAAGCTGCCCCGATTGCTTCTGCAGAGGGGCGGGATATAAATAAATTATTATTATTATTTCTTTCTTTATTTATTTAATAGTGCAAGAAATGCCGTTCCTCCAATTAAGTTCAACCAAATCCTCCAATTAAGTTCAACCAAAATAAGGGCCTTTATAGACTGCCAGAAATAGTGCAAATTGAGTCCACTTTAACTGCCCTGACTCAGTACTAGGGAATCATGGGAACTGTAGTTTATTGCGGCACCAGAGCTCTCTGACAGAGAAGGCTCAATGTCTCAGAAAAAAAACTACAATTCCCATGATTCGCTAGCACTGAGCCAGGGCAGTTAAAGTGGACTCAATTTGCACTATTTCTAGCAGTCTGCAAGGCCCTAAGTTGCTTTAAAAGAGCACTTTTAAAAGAAAAAATATTTTTTTAAGCTAGTGGCCATAACGTCGGAAATGCATTCTGCTACTTAATTGTCTGATTTACTCCTATACTGGCATAGTCCTAAACATTGATGCAAAAAAAGAAAGAAAATGGTTTAAATAAATAACAACAAAAACCCTGTTTAAACCAAACAAACCTGGTTTTTTTAAATGTATGTTTAAAAACTTTTTTTTCTAGCCCTACCTGGGGGCTGCAATTTGCAATTTTAGGGACCCCAACATCCCAACAGCAGTATAATGTACCGGTTCCTTGATTTTACAGTATAATGTACAGGATTTTTAATGTTGTAAGCCGCCCCGATTTCTCTGCAGAGGGGTGGGATATTATTATTATTATTATTATTATTATTATTATTATTATTATTATTAAAATGTATAATGTACCAGTTCCTTGATTTTCTGTTTCCTTTCTTTCCTGACTTCTTCCTGATTCCGTCTCTTCTTTCAAGATGCTGGCAGTCTGGAGAGTGAGAACCAAGGAGCAATGTCGCTAGAAGGAGCCAAATGTCAGCCAAGAGAGGAGCGCCTCCGACTAGAAGCAACCGAGAAAAAGAACAAACAATCTGCTGCTTTCGTGGATGCTGATATTGTTAAAATCCCCGTTCGAGAATATGGCGATGGAAACGAGAGCAGGAAAACATGTGAGCAAATGCCTTGCTATCCGTTCCTGGAGTGGGGAAGTACCTTATGTCCGAGATCGAACTTTACTTCTCCTCAAATAATACATACAGCGGGGGAACCGTATCCGTCGCTGGAGTGTGAGAATGGAATAAGGCTCCCTTTCTATTATTATACAGAAGAGAAGCCGTATATATTCCAGGAGTATGGAATGGGTTTCCCTCAATCGGCAAGTTTTATTAGCGCAGAGGGGAAACCCCATCAATGTTCGGAGTGTGGAAAGTGCTTCGGTTCGAAGAAATCGCTGGCGTCCCATTATCGCACGCACTCGGGGGAGAAGCCGTATCGGTGCCTCGAGTGCGACAAGAGCTTTGCTCACAAGGCAAGCGTCCGCCAACACCGCCTGATCCACCGGGGCGAGAAACCCTTTCAGTGTCCGTCGTGCGGGAAAAGGTTCTCGCACAAGTCCAGCTGCGCTCGCCACCAGGCTATTCACACGGGGAAGAGAAAATATCAATGTTGGGAGTGTGGGAAGAGCTTTCTAGAGAAGCGAGGCCTCGTGGAACATCAGGCCGTTCACGCTGGCGTGAAACTGTACCGGTGTCTCCAATGCGGCAAGGGCTTCGCTTACAGCTCGAGTATGCGCACTCATCTCAAACTTCACGCAAAGGAGGAAGCGTTTGCAGACATGATCCGTGGGAAGAGTTTTGTTAAAATCCAACCCTCGCTCGCCGTCGAGCCGCTCACCGCGGAGAGAAACCGTCCGAGAGCCTGGAGGGCAGAATGGGATTGCCAGAATGAAAACTAGGAAGGGCTCCCGTGTCTTT